TTCCTCTCACAGTGTAATTCTTACTTACACAGAGACAAAAGATTTAAAGAATCACAAAAATGTTAATACATTTTTATCATAACAAAATCTCCGATGATAAAATACAGTAAAACTGCATTTCTTGTTTAAGCGTATGAAGTATAAATTTAAAGCAAACAAATAAAGAAACATTAGGCATCACATTGCAAAATGACAGCAAGAGGAAAAAACAGCAAAATCCATGTTTTATTTGTCGTGTTACTCTGTCCTGTGCTGAGGAAGAAAAGCAAAAAAACGTTTTAGGTTCACAACTGAAGGCACAATACGACAATTTGTACGTGTGATTTTAGCAAGAAATATATACAAGAAAAACTTACACACCTGTTCATTGTTTCTCGCTTGTTTCTCTGACAGTTTCTTCTAAATCTCTTTCATTTTTTTGTTTCTCTCTCAAGTGTTTAATAATTTGTTCCTTGTCTTTTTCTAGCTTTCCCTTTCTTTCTGTCATTTGGATTATAATGTTCTCTGTTTCCTCCATTAGCTTTTCTGTCATCTTTAACAGTTCTTCATGTACTTTTATTCTCTTTTCCAGGTCAGCTTTTTTATCTACAAGCTTATTCTTTTTTTTCTCTTTGTCAGTTAGTGGAGTTTCTTTCTCTTTTTTCATGACCTCTTTCATCCCTGCCTTGTCCTCCTGCAGTAGTGTATTGAGTTTTTCTCTCTGGTCCTTCAGAAATGTCTTCTGCTCCATCAGTTTTTCAATGGTTTGTCTGACATGTTTTAAATCTTCATCCTTGTTCTGCAACTCATCTTCAAGTCTTTTCTTTTCCTCACATTCTCTCTGTAATATTTCCTCCATCTCTGTTTGATGTAGTTTGTTTTCATCCTCATCATGTTTGCTGATTTCTGTGTGAGTAAAATTGCAGGAAAAAAATATTTGGACAACATATTAGTCATTTTTATGTGTTCACATGTGTTGACAGTATTAATTTACTATACCAGTAATCAAATATAAATGGAAATAAACAGTTTGAAGCATTACTATAGAGACACTATGGTTACCACCCTACAACAATGTAGAGTCTAGAACAAAGTCTTCTTTTAAGAAGGACTGACTTTCAGATGTATTTCAAAATTCAGTGAAAATAGACGTTCAGAAATCACTAATGAAGGATATTTAAAATAACATTAGATGTACTGAAACTGCTATGTGTGAATCAGAGAGGTTTGGCCAATTTTATTCAAAATCACATCTATCTATTCATGCATATCTAATTTTCACATTTAATTTTCTTTCACTGCTTTGTTTATATGAGTAAACGAGTGAGAACATGACATTTTGGTCGCAATTCCTACAACAAGAATAAAACACAAAAAGTTTTAATTTATATTGTTGCTATAACTAGAATTTTACAGTGGGTGATTTCCTCAAATATTTTTACCTTTGCCCCCAAAATGTCTCAGTCACACTAGAGGAAAACAATAGCAAGGCATCTTCCTCGTGTGGAATTTCTACACATTCAGCAGATGGTTGTGGCAACAAGTTGGTCTACTAGAGGTTGAGGGTGTTCTATACTTCACTTTTGATCACAAGGCAATTGCACAGGTTGCTAATGGGATGCAAACTGCCAACAAATAATCACAGCGTGACTTGAACTAAGTCTAGTTACTCTCTGACAGACGGGCAACCACTTTCCAGTAATTAACACTTAGTTTATAAATGCAGACAGAAAGTCAAGATATTGCAATCAATCTCAGTCAGTCTGCACTGATGAGACCAACTCTGCATGTCTTAACACATCTCTTTACAACACAGGACACACAGGGTTATATTCCTTTATAAAAGTAAAGTTGCTGAGAGCCTCCATTTTTGCTAGCAAATCTCTGTAATTTCTGCAATCTCCATCTACTGTTTTCCCTCGAGCGCCTTTAACATAACTGTTTATGTGTTTGTGTCATTTTTATTTGAATCACGTTTGTACTTCTTAGCCCTTAATTTTAAAGGCAGTTACACTAAAACAAGACATTAAAAAGGTCTGATGATAATGGTTGGGGTAAAAAGTACCATGTAGTTTGAACTTACTGGCTTTCTTTTGTCCACATTT